TGCTTACGCATTCACCAGTGATGCAGGCTTCACACGCTATGTATGAAGAGCTCGAAGAAAAACATGCAGCAGACTCCTCAGCCTTCCAGAGAACCTTCAGGTGTAACACTTGTGCCGGCATGTGCTCGTGTATCTAGTTGAAGCACAGAAGATGCCTACCCACCCACCTACCTACCTGCCTGCCTGCCTGCCTACCTACCTACCTACCTACCTACCTACCTACCTACCTACCTACGCATGCATGCATGCATGCATGCATGCATGCATGCATGCATGCAGGCATGTATGTACGTACATGTATGCATCATGTGCACGAATGCTCCCACAAAGGGGAGAGAGAGAGGGATACATGCATAGGAACACCTCTCCCGACCTAAATTATCGACTAGGTAGATCGGGATTTGGGGATGTGTCTTGTTGTGCAACACAGCAGCTGTTCACCTGTGATGCCCTCCGCAGTTTTGTTCCCACTCGCAATTTTTTGGGGTGAGGGGAGTTTCCATCCGAAGGTTTGTTCACCTTTGCGATCCGGTTCAACTCCATGTGCTGGTCATGTTTCTAGCCAGTGATCTGGGTGCAGGTGTGCGAACGAATGATCCATCGGTTGTAGTAAGCTCGCCCATGTCCAATGTTGCTGTCGCAGCAGAAGCGTGCATGTGCCCGCAAGCTCAACGAGTGTTCGAGTCGATTTGTCCGAAAGGGACGGATATACTTGTCTATGAACCCATAGAATATGTGTATATACACTAAAGTTAAGCACAGATAGGTTGACATGACATAATCCACAATAATTAATGCAATATGACAACACAATATAGTTCCGTATCATTCGCCATGTCATGGAATGTGAAAGACGCTATAGTCAGATTGTAGAGTGGCATGATATGCTATGACAGACTATGACATAATATAGGATAGTATAGTACAGTACAATACTAATATCGTATAACGGAACATGGTATGATACCATATAGCATTCTTTACACTTGTGAACGCTCGGCGTCATCCGCCTCGGCCTGGCTGCAGGTGTAGGGCCCAGTAAGACGACGAATGTGGCCGTGGGGCGTACGGGGTGGCGCAGGGGGGGGGGGGGGGGGGG